GTATAGATACTTCTGTCAGTTTGATCAAGTTCCACCTCACAAAACTGTTTTTGTTACATAATTATTTGTTGGCGTTTGCGAACGTGTTTTTGATTTTATGTGTATGTCATATACCAACTATTGCTAGTGTTGTTATTTCTCTGCTATTTCATCAATTACATAATTTTTGAAATATGGTTTAGTCATTAATTTAATTCATTTTTCCATTTTCCCATGTTCCTAAATATACAGAATTGATAATAATACATTCCGTATGTGTTTCTACAAAAACAAACTGAATTATGTTATACACATTTTCATAAAATATACAGAATTGATAACAATACTTTGTTTCTATACGTGTTTCTACAAAAACGAACTGAATTACGTTATACACATTTTGAAATATGTTTGTCATTAATTTAATTCATTTATCAATTTTCCTATGTTTTAAAGTATACAGAATTGATAATAATACTTTGTTTCTATACGTGTTTCTACAAAAACGAACTGAATTATGTTATACACATTTTGAAATATGTTTTTGTCATTAATTTAGTTTATGTTTCCATTTTCCCATGTTTCTAAATACACAAATTTGATTATAATATTTTCCACACGTGCTTCTACAAAAAACGAACTGAACAGAGGAAAAGGAACAAACTGACTGACGTATTAAATTCTGAAAACAAACAAACAACAGACACTATTAACAGCCACAGGTACATCACGAGTGGTGACGAAGAGCTGATAACCGCATTAGTCTCAGTTATTTGTGTTTAACACAACTTGGACTTTGAAAGTCGAGCGGGTTATGCGGTTTGTATTCATCACGCCTCCGCCTATACGACAACTGAATGTGCCAGCGTTGGTGAGTGAATGGTCGTTAATGCCGTACCCATCACCATTCCAACTTTATCTTGCAGGAACGACACCGTGGTCTAGTGGATAGAGCCTCTGCCCGGAGAGCGGGAAGTCTGTGATTCGATCCCCGGCCGCGTCAAAAGATGGTACTTGTTGTCACCCTGCCTGGCGCTCGTCATTAAATGGATACAATCAGCACCGGTCGGTTCGGAGTATACTTTATCTGATTTGGGAATGCATGTGAAGGTGAGGTGAAAAGGGGTTTAACGTGGCGTGCAACATTATTGCGTTTATATAGCGACGTGCGTGCATGTTTGTGTGGCTGCTTGTACTAGTCCGGACTATGGCCGATTTTATAGTGCTAGCCCACTGAGACACCATGCCGCAGTTTAACATGAATGCCCAACCCAGACACAGTATACTGACTCCGAGCCGACCAGTCCTTGTTTTAGCCCGAGCGCCAGACAGGGTTACAATAAGTTCCATCTTTTAACGTCTTTTGGTATGACGCGGCCGGGGTTCGAACCCCGGACCTTCCGCTCTCTGGGCGGACGCTCAACCACTCGACCACGGAGGCGGTCGTATACATGTGAAACTGCGGCAAGGAATCTCAGTAGAATGGCACTATAAAACCGTCGTAAGTCTGGACTAGTACAAACAACCACATTATAAGTGCAATAATCCTGAATGCGACATTAAATCCCATTTCACCTAATCTTACCTTTATTTTGGCGGCCCTATGTGGGGAATCGAACCTGGGTCTTCGGCGTGACGAGCAAACGCTTGAACGACAAGGCTACCCCAAACTATGAGGGTTTGGACAAAATCGACATTGGGACAGGTTGAACAGGGGTTAATACATGAGGACCGCCCAGTGACGTCGGAGTACAAGGACAGACAGACAACCAGCCCCTCATGCAGCTATGTTCGATCCTCACATACTGGCTGGAATGGGTGACTGGACACCAGGGGTGGTCGGGTAGCCTAGTGGTTAAAGCGTTCGCTCGTCACACCGAAGGCCCGGGTTTCATTCCCCACATGGGTACAATGTGTGAAGCCCATTTCTGGTGTCCCCCCGCCGTGATATTGCTGGAATATTGCTAAAAGAGTCGCAAAACCACACTCAGTAACTCATTCAGATACTTTGAAACATTTGTCCTAGTTTGTCAAGGAGACAATATTTATTTTAGCCAGTGTTTTTGGTAGGTGGGTTACTAGGTAACGAAGCGGTTAAAGCTTTTTGTCGCAACCCCGAAGGCCAGGGTCCAATTTATCACAAGGCAACACGTCACGATAAGGCTGAAATACTGCCGATGTGACGTTAAATATTAACTCACTCACTCATTCCCAAGGCTACAACGCGTAAGGCCCATGTCTGGTGTCCTCCGCCATCATGTCGATGAGCGGTGTAAAGCGTCACACATATGATCTTTGATTCGAAACAATGGACAGCGGATCCAGGCACAACTAAGGAACGAAACTCTGCATAGTGAAACATTCGGCATTTTAGATCACTGACGTATCTGTAATTCATGTTGTCATAGTAATGTTATTTACATATACAATGGCTTCGTTTTGGTCGGAAAGAACATTTCAATTCAAAACGTTTTCAGAAGAAAAGTTTGTCTCAATTATTTGTCGAAACAGGGTCTAGTTACATTAACATATATCAAACGAAAATTGTTAAACATTTTTTATTTCTTGTCATAGTAACTTCTATATGCAACCTCTGTAGATAACGGTAACATGAACACTCATTATTAACACCGCACACTATTGTCGCAGTGAGAAGTCTTCTGAGCCCACTTGCACAAAGCGATGTTAGCGCTAAGACTATTGTAGGCCTATGTTAAAGTATGGGAGTTACAATCATCTCAGCGCTAAGACTATTGCAGGCCTATGTTAAAGCATGGGAGTTACGATCATCTTAGCGCTAAAACTATTGTAGGCCCATGTTAAAGCATGGGAGTTACAATCATCTTAGTGCTAAGACCATTGCAGGCCTATGTTAAAGCATGGGAGTTACGATCATCTTAGCGCAAAGATGGCTTTGTGCAAATGGGCCCTGTTCAGATTCAAGAAAGAAACGTGCTGTCTCTTGCCAGGGTGACGGGAGGGTGAGTGATTGTGTGAGTGCTGTTTAACGCCACAACCAGCGACGTCCATGTTTAACCAATGCAGCCTGTACTAGATGAATGAGTTCAGACAGCATGCAAGTGGTTAATACCATGAGCGGTTATCCCTGCCGTAAGGATGAAACAATAAGTCAGGCCATACATTGTGACCCGATCCACATTCAGGCGGCGTTTCCGACACCACCTCAGGACAAATTCATCAGCGAGCGACATATCCCACCGTTCACTGGGACGAATATAAAACGGTTTTGATATAAATTCACTGAAGTCGCTTTTTGACGACAAGCTCTGTGTACTCCTATTTATCACAGGATGTGACATCTCGATTATGGATATATATAATGGGTTATGAATAATTTATAAACTCTCTTTATAATATTTTAATTGATAATCCAAAGGAGACTTGGTGCCGTATTCATTCAAATTCTTTGCATCTACAAGTTGAATTCAGTAAGTCAACGTGTATTCATTACTACACATCCTAAATACCCACTCAAAGCCAGAGTATCTTTGTTAATACGGTGCCAAACCATATGGTAAAGTTTGTAAGGAGAGTGGAAACGTCAGTGCATGGATTAAGGGTAATATGTACAGGGGGAGATGAACATCACAGAGTCCCTTTAAGGATGTTTCAGTGTTCGACACTAACACTGGTCCGCTGGTCCGAGTTTAGTATATTTTCTTAGGGGCCAGTAAAATGAAATAAATGGTGGTCCGTTGGTCTTGTGTTATTTTGGGGTTGATCAAAGTAATTTAGATTTGCACGACTTTTGAAATCAGTGATATGTCGACTATAAACTCAACAAGCAAAACCACTAACAAAATTGTGTGGTACTGTGGTTACTTTCTTGACAAATGTTTCTCAACAAATGTTGATTTCCTAAACTAACAAGAGTTTGCCACTAACGTGGCTATATCCCCCCCACCCCCATCCCTTCCCGAATTTATGACATAATTAAATCTAAACAAACCCTAACCTTTTTCTAACCGAGGTGGAACTTGTCATGTAAATTGTAAAAAAAAGAAGAGTTTGGAAGTCCATCTTGTTGCCATGGAAACGTAAAAAATAAAAAAATCTAAAATTTCTAAATAGCAAAAGGCACCAGTTCAGCATGTACCTGACAAACCTGCAAAGTTTCATAAAAAAAATATTGAACAGTTTGTGAGTAATGCTCCGGAAACGAACCCTACCCTCACAGAACCTAAGTCCATCTTGTTGCCATGGAAACGTAAAAAATAAACATTTCGAAAATTTCTTAATAGCAAAAGGCACCAGTTGATCTTGAGGAATTAGACACATGGTTGTTAAGTGTGCATGGATTACCCTTGTACGAGGGTTTGCATTAGGTAATGGCAAAGGTGAAACGTTATTTTCGCGAACACCTGGTGTTCTCTGATTGTCACCGCTATTTTTCCGTTTACGCCCAATGGAATCTGTTAAGGAGGATAATCTCTGGCGTGGACGTTTTATTTTAAATAATAACGTCAGAATAGAAACTGTGGTGCTTTCTATACCATGGATGGTTTATCTTAAAGTGGTTGTGTTGAATGGGACGTAAACAGGTAAATACCATTAATAACACTTTTATGCAGTTAACAGTTAACACTGCGACTGGTCTCCCTCCATGCCTCTATGGTAACGTGTGAATTTGGCGCAGCAGTTAAACAGTACGTCTCACTCAATAGAATGGACAGGGAACCTCTTCTTTTTTTCCATTTGAACAGTTAGATTAAATCATTTTCATCTTTAAAATACCTATATGGATAAAGGTAAAACTTAGACAATTCTCTTAATACAGTAAGACATGGTCTTGGATTAGGGCCGAACTTCTACTTACTGTTGAGAAGATCATCTTAATGCGGTGAACATCTTACTGGGCCCACTTGCACAAAGCGATCTTAGAGCTGCGACTCTTGTAAGCCTGTGTTAAAGTACCTATGGGAGTTACGAATCATATTAGCGCTACGATCGCTTTGTGAAAGTGGGCCCTGGTCTGGGATCACGGGAGAATGTATACTTACTGTTCAGCGCCCAGGGAATGAAGGTGTAGTTGAGGGCGTCTCTGGGTGGTATTTGAGCGCTGATCATGGCGTCCATGAAGTTCATCATGTCGTTGTAGCAGACATCAGTGATGGTGTCGTTGCTGGTCATGGGAAGAAAATGACGAGCAGAATTGCCGGTCAGGATTCTCCGGACAGTTCGGAGTTTATCGATTCTTTTCAAAATGGCGCCGCTCACCATCTGCTTTGCCTGTGGGTTGTCTTGGGTCATGTTATGAGCTTGGAGAAAGCCATACACATCAGTGATGTTGACTCGGTGGAGCTCGTCGGCCAGGATTTCCAGGATGCCAGCGGTTTCCGGAGACTGCAACAGTCCTGGTACCATATCCAGAACAAAGTTCATAAACATGCCAGATTTTGGGTCATTTCCCCCCAGCTTCAACAACGGCTGAGCAGCAGCGCTGATCTTGAGAAGTTTACGGAAAAGAACTGGGTGTTTATATAAAGCGTCTGCCACAAACAACGCCGTCTCATTCAGAGGTTGTTTGTCCGGGGTGTAACTGTTTGCCAAGTCGGCTTGCCCGGAAACATATGACAGAAACACGACCACCATAACAGCGAATAATGTGTAGCGAATCATGGCGAAAGTTCATCCAAATTCACACAATGTTTAATGTCCGCTCTAACTGATCCTTTCAAAGAAGTCTTTACATTTCAACCACAGGGCGTCGGAGGGATCTGATTTGGATAACACGAGCGATATTAAACGCGTCCGTCGCTACCAGTTGTCGCTAGCTTTGTGATAGGGAGAGTTCATAAGCAGGCAAGTATATCCGGGGTGCGCGACAACGTTCAGAGATAGACGATGCAGGAATGTCAACACCAATGGTATGCCAGCAGGACTTTGGAACCTGTTTGCAATGGCAACGTCATGCTATATATAGCATTTTTGTTATCTATGGTATAGTTTATAAGTAACATCCCTCGTGACACACTGGCAACCCGGGTATGACCCGGTACATTTACCGAAAATTGTAACTCGACTTAAAATTTTGTATTTTGGCCTTGGGTTGAGCCATTCCGAGTTTGTGAATACACAAGACAGTAAGCAATATGGTGACTGATGCAGACGTCTGGGCACCGTCAAGTGTAAACTCTATTTGGGTTGGGGGTGAGGTCAAAGTAACCGTCCATTATCCAATAGACAGATACACTGTGGTCTACGTTGTCTATTCGGCTGACCACAAAAAAATGTGGGATTGAGACTAGATATTTAGTATCGAGATTAGATATTGTTTCAGCTTCAGCCGCAAGACCAGATATATTTTGTTTGTTTAAGACTATGAGCTTAGTATAATGGTTGTACACAACTTGTTAACAACATGATGACGTCACTGATGTCCAGAACGCTGCCTTGGACATCTTCACTCAACAACGCGTGTGTCCATTATGGGCCTTGGTGGCCACTTGCTACCGCCGGGGGAGGACAGCAGTGTGGAACCGATGGCGTCAATGAAGTCGTCACATGTGGAGTGCCGGGTCAATGTCTAACCACGGTTATCGAGTAAACGTTACACGTATCATTGTATTTAACTTGTGACAATTTGGCGTTCTCAACTTCCGCATTCAACGTGCCGATGACCTGGTACCTCTCTTAGTTTAGTCGTGCCATTCACGTACTAAAGCATGCCATGTACCGTTGCATTTTAAAAAGTTTAAGATATTGTCTTATCAAATTAGTGCGCAAGATTTGAGAATCACAGATTATGAACATGACCATTCGTGCTTGCTGCACTAGATCTTGACATTCTCTTGCGAGTTTTGACATACAGAAACGAGCATTGGTTTTTGTATGTCTCAAGTATATATCGTTTCACATGAATGAGCTGGGGTGCCTGGCATTGTTCAGGTTGTACGTTTTGACAAAAGTGGTAAGTTAGTATAAATATAATATTCTAGCTATATGCCGGCGGTCTGTAAATAATCGAGTCTGGACCAGACAGCCAAGTGATTGACATCATGAGCAGCGATCCACGCAATTGGGATCGATGACATGCATCAACCAAGTCAGCGAGCCTGACCACCCGATCCCGTTAGTCGCCTCTTACGGCAAGCACAATCACCTTTTACGGCAAGCATGGGTTGCTGAAGACCTATTCTACCCCGGATCTTCCCGGGTCCATTATTGATGAACATTTTCATTTTTAAAAAGCCAATTGCCCCATAATTCCCCCCACTGTGATTAGGCACGGCCATTCGCAGAGCAAACGTGCGCCCCTGAGCCCTGATTGACATGTTTGTTGCATGGTTTTAACACTGATATAAATGATAAGGGTGGTGTCAAACTAAAACGACACACCCGCCTTTTTATAGACTTGTCAAGTCCAAACTTTGTACTGTTTATCTTGCCACCACCTTTCCACAACTTCTGCATGACTGTCTGAAGAAAGGTCAAAGTCTAGTATGTAAGCTATCTGTGTTCAAATGACTCATTTTATTGATATTAACGGTGTACATGTGGGGTTATATGTACTAAAGTTTTTATATTATTTCAGAATTCCTCGTGTGTGTCGATACTGCTGTCAATTTGTCCAGATTTGCCGGTTTTATAATACTAGACCACTGAAGCACCATGCTTGTTTAGCATTGATACCCCACTCAGACACCGATACTGACTCCGAGCCGACCAGTTCTTGTTTTATCCCCTTAAAGCCGAGCGCCAGGCAGCGCAACAACAAATACTTTCCCATAACATTTTTTTCTCTATAGTGGACACAATCAATAATTCCAACGCATGAAAATGCCACCAATACATCAACCTAACAGAATGGTGAGAATTTGCCGCTTTGTAAGCGAGATGACACAATGCATGACAGTAGCGCACAAATGGCAAGCATTAGGCGTTGTTAGGTGGGAACTAATGGGCTCAGTGAATCAGTGGGATTTCAAGGTTATGGAATTTGCTAAGGGACTACTCATTTGATATCGGGGGTTGGGGTGAGGGTGAGGGTGAGGGTGAGGGTGAGGGAGGGGTTGGGGTTGGGGTTGGGGTTGGGGTTGGGGTTGGGGTTGGGGTGGGAAGTGCTAGAAATTGCAAGAAAAAATAATTGTGCTTCTAATAAGAATCAAATTAATACATATCTGGTTGTGCAAAAGTAGCTGAAAAAATAGCCTGTCTCCATACAAAATGGCTACAGCCGGCATAAACTACGGCTGTAGGCCACTCCAAACGTGTTGATGGTCGATTTACTTGGGTGCATTATGCTGATGAGGTCTTGAAGCCAGTCTTGGTACACTTTACGCGTAGTACTGGTCAGTTTCAATTACAAAGGGATAACGCTCGCCAAAACACAGCTGCAGTTTATATGTAAATGGATTGTTTGAGAAATAGGAACATGGCCATCAGGACTGACCCCAACCCCATCTGTGGAAATAAATTGGGCATCTATTGTCAATCGTCTACTCATTGTCAACTAGTAGAATTGCGAGAAGAAACGCTCGAGTTAAAATGCAAAATATTTCTATTCTAACAATAGTACCAGTAAAGTATAAAATGGGGCTAATATCCAGCATGGTGGTAATAAAAATGATGCTGACATTCGAACCCACGATAACAGATTTCGAGGACGGCTAAGGGAAACAAGTCCGCGTTCGACAGCTAGACCACTCTATCTTGGCACAGGTGTATCCTGCCTCATGGCAGGGTGAGATTTTAATCCCTCCATGTTCACAAACGTAACCTACGAAAGCCTAATGGTGCCACCTTGGTAGCATCAGTTATTTGTTTTCTAGTAATTTAAATTATTATCTCGAAATTTCAAGTATTTTCTCGTTACTTCGATTATTTCTCGTTATTTCAATTGTTTTCTCGAAATTTCGAAACTTTGTAATAAACTTGAAAATAATCGAAGTAACGTGAAATACTCGAAATTTCGAGAAAATAATTGAAATTACTGGAAAATAAACTCGAAGCAACGAGAAAATAATTGAAATAACGAGTAAATAATTGAAGTAATGAGAAAAAAAATGGAAGTTTTTGTTTTCGTTCGACTCGATACATTGGGACAATACTTGTATGTGAAGCTATGACATGGCCTGACACACTGGGTGGACTGACAGAGTGTGTGTCACCCTCACGCACAACTACTGGACAGCCTCGTCATAGGACCGCCATGACTATCGTGAATAGTCCCGACAGCGGCGTAGTTAATTATCGCATTTTTTTTATTTAGAAAGGGCGCTGCGATTCGCTGTGCAGAGTTGCGTCCCTTGGGCACGCCAGAAACCTATGATAGTGGGTTCGAATCCCAGTTCGCCCCGATTATGTTTCAAGGTTTGCCAGTATCATACCCGTGCTCGTGGGTTTCATTAAAGTGGTAAACGTCTGAGACTTGCATCACTTCGGGCTTTCCTCCCACATTAAACTGACACGCCGTGATATAACTGGAATACTGTTCAGAGCGGTGTTAAACCCAACCAACTCACTCACTCTGGGTACAACGCCTGCAGGCAGATTGCTCAAGTGGAGAGTACCAGTTAAGATGAACTTTATACTGACTCAAGCCTGAACCCACAACACGTCGGTCAGCAACAACCATGTGGACAGATATCACTGGGGCTTCATGGTAATGTTAAGTGGGATATGTGAAGGCGTATTGTATGTCACGTGGGATACATAGGTGTAACGCCGTCAATAAAGGATGTATTACGACGGATATATGCAGGACTTGACGTGGAAGATAAAGTACACGACTTGACGCGGAAGATAAAGTACTGTATTTATAAGACTTGATGCGGAAGATAAAGTACTGTATATATAGGACTTGATGTGGAAGATAAAGTACTGCATTTATAGAACTTGATGCGGAAGATATAGTACTGTATTTATAGAACTTGATGCGAAAGAGAAAGAACTGTACTTATAGGACTTGGTGCGGAAGATAAAGTACTGTATTTATAGGACTTGATGCGGAAGATAAAGCAATGCATTTATAAGACTTGATGCGGAAGATAAAGTACTGTATTTATAGGACTTGATGCGGAAGATAACTTATTGTATATATAGGACTTGATGCGGAAGAGAAAGAACTGTACTTATAGGACTTGGTGCGGAAGATAAAGTACTGTATTTATAGGACTTGATGCGGAAGATAAAGTACTATATTTATAGGACTTGATGCGAAAGATAAAGCACTGTATTTATATGACTTGATGCGAAAGATAAAGCACTGCATTTATAGAACTTGAGGCGGAAGATAAAGTTCTGTATTTATAGGACTTGATGCGGAAGATAAAGCACTGTATTTATATGACTTGATGCGAAAGATAAAGCACTGCATTTATAAGACTTGATGCGGAAGATGAAGTACTATATTTATAGGACTTGATGCGAAAGATAAAGTTCTGTATTTATAGGACTTGATGCGTAAAATAAAGTACCGTATATATAGAACTTGATGCGGAAGATAAAGAACTGTATACATAAGACTTGATGCGGAAGATAAAGTACTGCATTTATAGAACTTGATGCGGAAGATAAAGTTCTGTCTATATAGGACTTGATGCGGAAGATAAAGTTCTGTCTATATATGACTTGATGCGGAAGATAAAGTTCTGTATATATAGAACTTGATGTGGAAGATAAAGAACTGTATTGCAGTGGGTCAGTGTGCTTTTTTTACATTCAGCCTTCCATCTTAGTCATCATGTGGGAAGGTCGTTTTACCTATTTCAGTTTTTAAACTGTTTTGAAAAAAAGAAAAACTTATAAAATCGATCTCAGCTTTCTAACTCTGAGTTTGGAAATAACG